AAATCTTAGTAAAACAAACACTTATTTTGCTCAGAGAATCAAAAAATGCAATAATATATAGGGTATTTCATTTAGAAAAACACAACTTTGATACTTATAGGGCTTTTGGGACACTCTGTACATTGCAAAAATATTTTTAAAATGTGCACCCGATAGGCGTCTGTGGATTCATCAAATAATACTTTGCAAAAAACAAACCCTGTATAAGACTAAGAAGTATAATAAATAAATAACAGGGAGCAGATCAGAAAAGTGAGATTTTGGCCTCTCGCTCAAGGACCCGGACCGAATCCAAATAACTGTTCCGTTCCAGTTAACAGTGCGTTACAGTAATATCAAATATGGATTCAGTTACGGTTCCGGCCCCCCAAAAAAAAACCGTTCTGATCCGGTTTTGGGTCCTTATCGGTCTGCTATCGGTTCCCGTTCCAGTTAACAGCGCGTTCTGTTAATATCAAATATGGGTCCCGTTCCGGTTCCGGTTCCGGCCGTTCTGTTCCGGTTTTGGGTCGTTATCGGTTCCCGCTCGCGGTTTCTTTGTCACGTAAATAGCAACCGTCTACTTACCATGTCCAAAGCTCTTCGACAAGTCAAAAACAGTTCACTCGCTGTATTACAAGCCACTCTAGCCACTTGAGACCGCAAATTCTTGATGTGTTTGGCCAAAACGATGCAAATCTGATGGATCTGCTGCAGGACTGTATCGGGACTTTGTTTCAAAAGTTTGATCAGCCCTTGAAGCCCTTCGACTGTCGCCTCCCAATTGGGATCTTCCAGTTGAGTGAGCACATGCTGCAGAACGTCCTTGGGTTTATTGGGCGGCTTCGCTATTGAGCTCTCTGGAAGTCGAATTGAGATCGATGAGGATTTGCAGAATCGCCAAGCAAACCGATCGGTACCTGCAGCAGCTCTTGGTGAAGCCTTCAGGGTCTTGCTGTCGTTTCTGGATAACCGGCGCCTCTCCAGCTTGGATTTGCGCACCACAGCCGAGCTCTGTTGGCTTTTTGTTACTTCCTGATGCTGTCCAGCATCGACCATGGGAGGAAGTGGATCAGTTGCGTCCGGCTCTGGATTGTTGTTCAGAACGTTGTCCTCGTTTCTAGGGGGGGCCGAGTTTACGTTCTTCCTGAAAGCAGTGGTCACGTTAATTAAGCATTTGGTCTTTGGCGATAGCAAAGCGGTTACCTGATTGGCGCAATCTGGGGCAGGAAGTTCGGCAAGTCAATAACAGATTTGCTTTTCCTCCGAATTTCTATTTTGGCTGGAATTGACTGCAGGAGAAGCTGGTGTGAAGGCGGTCTTGACTGGGCCACTTCCTCGTTGTTGTTGAGCTGTATTGACTCCACTGAGGGGTAGTTGTCGTGAATAGGCTCCCCTAAGAAGTGATTGGTTGGCTGGGCCGAGCCTATTCTAGATCCAGGTCCCTATCAGGGAACAGTGTTGAAAACTCAGCACTCTTTTAGGCAAACTGCTACTCACTGGGCTCTGGCCCTCCTCATTCAGCACTGATTTATTGGACCGCGAATCGGCACGATTTTGCTCTATCGGCTCTTCTGCATCGGAACTGGGCCGCTCCTCCGTGTCCATTTTAATAAAAGCAGGAGGGTAGGTGTCGGGTGGGGAAGGGGTGTAATACCCCGAAGTTTCCGAACCAGAAGACAGTGGCGGCGGCAGCGAAAGATGGCTGATGGATTCATGATCTCCCACATGCGTTTGAGGTCTGGGCGATGGTTTCGAAGAACCCGGCGTATGTTGAGGACTGTTTGTTATTGACCTGGCAAAGACAAAACTGTGTAATTTACCTCGATTAATTGCGGAAAATGTTGGCATGATGATATGCGATTATACATGTACTCTGATTTGATTAGAGGCATGTCGACGGAAGATTAATGGCTCGAGTGTAAGGATAGCGCACGTTTTCCGTTCTAACTTAGGCATTATAAGCTAAAACGCTTTTTGCCATCGTTACATTGTGCTGGGTGCGGTTGCACTCAATTGCCTTTTGTTCTTTGCTTCCGGTGCAGTAAAGTAGGTCGAGGAAACGCGAAAAATGTTTAGTGGATTACTTATACTGAGCCCTGCTCAGTGCTAAAGTAAAAAATCTAGTTGATTTCAATGCATCTGCGGCATTTCTGATCATATTTTGGAGGAAAACTGGAAAATCCTGAAGGTTTTGGTCGAAAGAGTTTTTACTCAAAAAAATGTCTTCGAACTTTTTCGAGTAATATAGGAAATATTCATTCGAGTCGGTTGGTTTGTTTGGGAAAAAAAAGGAAAACTTTGTACAGGCTCTTAAGGGGGTTGAATCCTCAAAGCTCTGTTAAACCCCAAAATCCCCATCAAACGAACCCATTTTCACTCAGTAAACTTTGTGGTTTGCGAATTTGTTTCCCGGGATTACGTAACAGCATTGGCCTGATTAGTAAAAAACCAAATGGTAATTAAGTAAAATTCTCAGGAGTTTTAGAGTCAACAGTTCTCTATAAACGGTGAAAATTTCAAGTGACTTCTTAATGCAGCTTGGAAGTTATCGTTTCTAAAGGAGGGCGGGTCACTGTGTAAACGCATCAATTTTTGAGTGATTTTTCATGGTGAGTTCAACATTCAGTTGAATGGTAAAAATCAGGCTTTGGGGCGATTTCAGTGATATTTTCAGCATATTCARATGCAATCGTCTTCCGTCGATCGTGAAATTTTCAAGTTGCCACTTGCTTTGGTTTAGAAGTGGCAATTTTTTAAGGACAGCGGATTATTGAGAGATTTTTCGGCCACCATTGAGTTGGATGGTAATAATCAGGCTTTGGGGCGATTTTAGTGATATTTTCAGCACATTCAAATCCAATTGTCTTCTGGCGATGGTGAAAATTTCAAGTTGCTACTTGCTTCGGTTTGAAAGTAGTCATTTTTTAAGAACAGCGGATTATTGAGAGATTTTTCGGCCACCATTGAGTTGGATGGTAATAATCAGGCTTCTGGGCGATTTCAGTGTTGTTTTCAGCAGATTCAAATGCAAGAAGTGTCTTCTGTCGATGGTAACAATTTCAAGTTGCTACTTGCTTTGGTTTGAAAGTAGTCATTTTTTAAGAACAGCGGATTATTGAGAGATTTTTCGGCCACCATTGAGTTGGATGGTTATAATCAGGCTTTGGGGCGATTTCAGTGATATTTTCAGCACATTCAAATGCAATTGTCTTCCGTCGATGGTGAAAATTTCAAATTGCTACTTGCTTTGGTTTGGAAGTAGCAATTTTTTAAGAACAGCGGATTATTGAGAGATTTTTCGGCCACCATTGAATTGGATGGTAATAATCAGGCTTCGGGGAGATTTCAGTGATATTTTCAGCATATTCAAATGCAATTGTCTTCTGTCGATGGTGAAAATTTCAAGTTGCTACTTGCTTTGGTTTGGAAGTAGTCATTTTTTAAGAACAGCGGATTATTGAGAGATTTTTCGGCCACCATTGAGTTGGATGGTTATAATCAGGCTTCGGGGCGATTTCAGTGATATTTTCAGCACATTCAAATGCAATTGTCTTCTGTCGATGGTGAAAATTTCAGGTTTCTACTTGCTTTGGTTTGGAAGTAGTATTTTTTTAAGAACAGCCGATTATTGAGTGATTTTTCGGCCCCCATTGAGTTGGATGGTATTAATCAGTCTTCGGGGCGATTTCAGTGATATTTTCAACACATTCAAATGCAATTGTCTTCTGTCGATGGTGAAAATTTCAAGTTGCTACTTGCTTTGGTTTAGAAGTAGTAATTTTTTAAGAACAGCGGATTATTGTAACGGAAATGGCCTGGGGTACTCACGTTTTTAATGGGTGATCGAAATTCATTCAAATATGACACTGACAAGCGGGAAGTTTCGCACCTGTTCTGGAGATTTCTAGAACTATCTGGAATACCTGGAGAAAAGTATATAAGCGACGAC